TACCGTATGCAATGTGGCTATGGACAAGAGAATGATATATTTTTTCAAAGTATTGATATTACATAGATATTACATCTTTTTCAAAGCAAATATCCCTGAATTTATCTTTGAGCAAACATGATCGACGTGGTCCTGCCAGGATAGATGTTTATCAACTTTTAAACCTAAAAAATCTATTTTTTCAACTTGTTTGATTTCATCGGAATCCAATATAATCAACGGTTCTATTTTGTTTTTACATTGCTTAGTTGAAAATGATATAAAATTAGTTTTACTTTTATTTATTTTGAGATTGTTGGATAGTAAGTAATTTTTAATATTTGCAAGTTCTATAAAGGTATCTATTTCGATATGTTCTACTGTTTTTCCTGTAATTTTTAAGTTAATGTCATCAGCATATAAACACATATTTCCACAAGGTACACACGACAGAACATTTGGAATCTTATCAATGTAGCAAAGGAATAAAACAGGGCCTAGTATTGAACCCTGCGGGACACCAAAGTGATTAAGTTTTATTTCTGATCTGTTTTTTACCAGCCAATTATTTTTATTAGACATGATTTCAACGTATTGCTTTCTTTCTGATAAATATGATTTGAACCACGCCAAAATGTGACCTCTTACTCCCATATCTTCTAGTTTGAGTATTAGAGTTTGGTGACATACCCTATCAAAAGCCTTCGTAAGGTCCATTGATATTCCTATAACATTTTCGTGGCTATCAATTGAATTTATTATACTCTCAAAAAAACTTGAAGCAGCTGTAATTGTTGATCTGCCTGAGCGAAAACCATGTTGGCCACTAAATAGAAGGTTGTTATTTTCTATAAAAGACACTAGCCTAATTTTCATTGCCTTTTCAAATAATTTTGAAATAATTGGCAAAAGTGATATTGGTCGATAGTTTTCTACACACTGAGGGTCCCCCTTTTTGAAAATAGGCACAACCTTAGCAACTTTTAATAATTTTGGAAAATGACCGGATATAAAAGATGAATTAATTAAACGAGTAAAAATTGGAACTAGTTCTTGTTTTGTATATTTTATTACTTTAACGGGAATTTCGTCGTGCCCACGTGAAGGTTTGTTACTTAAAGAGTTTATCAGTTTTTCTACTTCCTCACATGAAACAGGTTCACATCGAAATAATGTTTTAGATTTGACACAATTTGTTAGTACTGGCTGGTGATTATCTAACAACTTATTACAGTTTACAGAACCATTCTTTCCAGATAAACTTACAAAGTAGTCATTTAGTACATTAGATATTGCCCTGGGATCTGCAATAGTTGTTCCTTTGTACGCAATGGTCATGTCATTCAATAAGTTATTTTCTTTGTTACCTACTTCTTTATTTATAATATTCCAGGTTGTTTTCATAACATTATCCGAGTTATTTATTTTTTTATCGTAGTGTAATCTTTTAGTTTTGTTTGCCGATTTTTTAAAAGTCTTCATTTTTGTTTTACAGAGGTTAGACAAGTTTTCGTCTTTTAATAATCTAGCTAATTTTGATGATTCCGCGATTTCGTTGAATTCCTCCTTTAATGAATAAGTATACCACTCTTTACTGTTAGTTTGTTTCTTTATTACTTGTTTTGGAAATGCTGTAATAAAATGTGATTTGAAAATTTTATAAAATGTTTCGTATTTTTGTTCACAATTTGCATTAAAAACTTCAAACCAGGACTCGTTTTGTAATGATATTTTGAAATTAATTAGATTTTCATCAGATAGGTTATAGTCTAAATACTTCAGTGACTCGTTTTTCCATGTTTTTTTTGACATGCCAACTTTACTGCGGTAGATATCTGATCAAATTTCTTGAAAACATATCTTATTGTACATCTAGAGTCTTAAGCAGAACCTCCATGCCAATTCCTGAGTTTTTACTGTTTATAGTTAAGCTATAGTCAAATGAGTGAGTGGTATTTGCCTTTTATATGTATAGAAGCTCCCGCCCTTGTATTATATCCATGTCAACCTGGGGATGCGGAATACTATCCCCCGGAAAACTACCCCCCCAGGTGAAACGTGACGTCACAAAATCTGCTAACTAACCAAAATGGAAGCCGTGTCCGCGACTGGAATACTACCCCCCCTAGACAAATCATGCTATGTAATTTTAATTTTAATTCGAGTAATTCCGTTGGATAATAGAAAAGGCATATGGTGAATATAAAACAGATTTTCGAAATGTTACAGCAAGTTTGGTTGGTTAGGTTAGGTTAGATTAGAACTGTTTTACAACTGAATTTGAGTGTCCGTGACTGGAAAACTACCCCCCCCCCCCGGTCTCTGACGTCAATATGACGTAGGAACCTGCTTGGGGGGGTAGTTTTCCGGGGGGCAGTCATCCGGCGACCCGTCAACCTCTTCTAAATCAATCACATGTCATCCCCATGTGGTAAGCTCTTTGTTTCACTGTTTATATGCATATAGATTAGTATATTGTATTTTCCATATCCATATTTGCAACAGGTATATTAAAACATATTATCGAACGATCTGGCCAGAGAACTTAACTGCAACACATTTACGAAAGTGGCTTTAACATGTAACATTACTTTGTGATGAAAGGCCTCTAATACACGTCTATTGTGTGTATAAACTCAGAGTAACTTATTATCAGCCATTACACCATCTATAACAGGTAAATGAACACAGTCTTAAGCATAGCCAAATTTTCAACATTAATAAGTCCACAAAAGGGTTATTGGATCAAAGTTATAGTAATAATTAACCAAAGCTATATCACTACACAGAGCTATCTTGTTTGACATTTTGAGGACAGTTAATGTCGGCGCATCATCTTGATCATGTCGTTTTTAAATGTGCTGTATTTACAAAAAATAAAAATGTCAACGTCAAGATATCTTATGCTATGGCCTTGGCAGGGCAAGAATTTCGTGTTGTGTCGCAGGGTAAGATGTTACGATGTGAGGCGTTTTGCTATACCTCTTGAAAATAACCCAAATATTTATAGACTGTCACCCATGGTTTAGTGAATTTATGAATAAAGTTTTCAAAATAGCTTTTAAATTTTGAGAATATATTATAGCTTTTATCAAAAAAGAAACTAATTTATTTTGGAATAAGATTAGTTTGCTTATATTATAATTGATTTTCATGCTTAAATCTGATGTACAGTATAGCTATTTCCAGACCTGTTTATCGTCGTGGAGAACGATCAGCCGAGAATATTGCTGCTGTGAGTGATAGTGTGAACGAATAGACAAAATTTTTAATTTGTCGATACTTAGGGATTTAATGCCTTTTGCATGGCTCCCTAATGCTCCTTTGTATGGGAATATGCACTTACGTCCTTAAAGATTCAATGAAAAACAATGAAACCCAAGGATCGTGGACAGCGAAGAATTAATGCAGAATATGTGTTAAAACAAGAGGAAGAGGGTGTTTATTTAAGAAAGATTGTTCTCAATTGATGAGTTCTCTCAGAATATGTTAATTAACAGAACTGCTGAATATGGGGCAGTGAAAAATAATCAAGTCATATACGCAAAACCATTGCATGAGCTAAAAGCAAACGTTCGCCTGGATACAGATACTTCCCGAGACTTGTCAACAAGTAAAATAAAACTACAATGAGAATATAGTGAACCCCCATAAAACAATAGCAACAATAGTTGGGCATGGTTTTTGGGTCTTGTGGAGGCCAAGAATTTCCAATTTTCTTGATATAGTTTTCCAAAACTATAATATATTGTATCAGCAATCTGAAACATACTTTCTTCCATAAGCTTGTCAACAACCTTTATCATGGGTAAGCGGTAGGATTTACTATGATAATTTTGTAAAAAAAATCACAAAAGTTGCAATAACTTTCGAACCGTAATTGTCAATGTAATGGGGGTTAATTTTATGGGATTTTTAATTGGAAAATAACATAAGCTACAACGAGCTGTTGGCCCGACCTACGCACGGAAATCGAGTAGTCCACTGAAACTGTATATAGTTATATTAACATTTCTATTCCTAATCCAAGCATATAGTTTAAACATTTCAAAATGTATTGTAAAGAAAAAGCTTTCAAGATGAATTAAAACAATATGTAATCATTGTTATTTTCCCAACCATTCCTCAAAAAACGGAGTAGTAAAATACTTTTCATAAGCTTTCTTTTGAAGACTCTTGAGCTTCGGTTCATATACAGCAATGGTTATAGAATCTTACTTATTTCCTATAATCAATGACTAAATCACGGAGTAAATAAACATGCTTCATAGTTCTACAGAATATTTTTTATATTCAAACAGCTGTTAGTAATAACAAATTGATTACACTAAAACAAACTTAAGAAGTTACAGATTGCTCTAAAAAATAAATTAGAACATCAAGTATTTTACTATGTGTATATTTAAATAATCTGTTATCCTCTTATCGAATAAATAAACTTATCAATGATTATAACAATACACATAGTATAAATAAATCAACCCTACCTACGTATTTCATTTTATTTTTATCCAAATGCTGAATTTGTGTCACAAACGCTGAATGTTTACTGAAAGCAGTGGATGTAAACTAGGAAATAGAAATTTTAAGGTAGAAAAAATAGGAAAATGGTTAAAATAAGATACCTCACATGTTTGGGTTGACTTCTCTGTAGATGGCCATCTTGCTGCTGATTTTTCCTTCACTACTTCTTCTTCTTGTAGTAGGGATAGGCGGGAAATTTAAATGTTTAAATGAAACCTGAATGAGGGTGGTCATGGTTGGTGATGTTGCAACAGGAATGAAAAAGGATAAATTAAAATGTCTCTGGGATTTCAGAAATTAAATTAAATTAAATTAAGTCTGGCTCTAACATTTCCGCCCACCAAAAAGGGCTAGTCCTTTTTCACAAATTAAAACTTAAAATTGTCCAAAATATAAAAACGCAGTTAAGTAATAGTTCAAAATCGAAAATTAAAGATGTTTGTTTCTTCTAAAAACACAAAATAAAATATCTTCTCAATCTTCTTGAACAACATAAGTTATTCTAGCGGTAGAGGACACAGTTGAACCACTGGCCTCTGAAGCTGTCCGGTTGGAGTTTTGAGGGAGACGACCCGGACGATGCCGTCTTTACCAGGATGCGTTGCAATGACTCGAGCAGCGGTCCATTTCAAAGGAGGTAAATTTTTGTCTTTAATTAAGACGAGATCGTCAATCTTCAGGTTAGGTTGTTTTAGATTCCACTTGTACCTCTGCTGAAGTTGGTGCAAGTATTCTCGACTCCAGGTATTCCAAAATGATTTTTGGGCTTGTTGGATCAATTGCCATCTGGATAGCCGATTAGAAGGAGTGGTGGAGAAGTCTGCCTGTGGTAGAGCAACTAGCGGCTCGCCTATAAGAAAGTGGCCTGGAGTGAGGATTTGAAATTCATTTGGATCTGGTGAGAGACTGCATAGTGGCCTTGAGTTAAGAATCGCTTCGATTGTGGTTAGAAGTGTTGAAAACTCTTCGAAAGTATAAATTTGATTTCCAATAACCCTCTTAAGATGGTGCTTGGTGGATTTGATTCCGCTTTCCCATAAGCCACCAAAGTGAGGGGCTGCGGGTGGATTAAAGTGCCAACTAATGCCAAGGTTAGCAACCTTTGACTGAATCACGTCAGATGAGGGAGGCTTGTAGAGTAAGTTACAAAGATCTTGAAGTTCCCTGTCGGCTCCAACGAAGTTTGTTCCTTGGTCCGAGTAGATGTTCGCACAGAGACCTCTACGTGACACAAATCTATCTAGACATGCCAAAAAGGCTTCAGTGGAGAGTGATGATACCAGCTCAAGGTGAATAGCTTTCGTGCTGAAGCAGACAAACAAACAGACGTAACTCTTTAATATTTGAGGTTTGCGTAGCCTATCCGTTTTTGTCATGAATGGCCCACCAAAGTCCACGCCTACATTAAGAAAATTCCGTATTGGTTTGAGTCGTGATTCCGGCAAATTGCCCATGTACGGATGAGGTGAATTAGCCTTAAACTTAGTACAAACAAGGCACTTAGATATGCGATGCCTGATTACATGTCGGGCAGAAATTATCCAAAACTGTCTGGAGAGAAGTGACTGGAGAGTCCTTGGACCAATATGCAGATACTTTACATGAAAGTAATCAATGAGGAGATGCGTCAAAGGTGAGTTTTTCGGAAGCAGCATGGGATGTTTGGCATCATAGCCTAGCTGAGCATTCTTCAAACGACCACCTACTTTTAGAATTCCATTAGAATCAAGAAATGGATCTAGCCGCTGAAACATAGGAATAGTTTGTTGTGAATAAATCTTCTTGATTTGATCTTGAAAGTGATGAGACTGCGTGGTTTTCACTAGTGAATTAAGAGAGGCTGTGCGTTCTGCCGCTGAAAGATAGGTTAGGAAAGTTTTTTCTTTACTCTTCTGACAATTATTTATAAATCGTAAAACCCATCCAAAGCATGACTGTAGCTTTCTAAAATCAGAGCTATTTTCAATCAATTCAATAATATGATTTGTAGGTTGTTTAGCAGCGACTAATACAGATGACGTATTAGGTCGAAACTCGAGTAAAGACTCTTCTGAAGATAATGCAGGTAACGGTTGAGTAGGCCATGAAGATTGGTCTTCTTGTAGCCAGTCCGGTCCTTGCCACCATAAGGAAGTGTCCAAAATCTCATTAGGAAGCAGTCCTCTTGAAGCGTAGTCCGCAGGATTTGAAGATGTTGGAGTATGTCGCCACTTCGCAGGTACGATGAGAGACTGAATTTCTGCTACACGATTAGCTACAAATGTCTTTAACTGATGTGGAGGAGAGCGAATCCAATGAAGAACTACAACTGAATCAGTCCAGGCAAACGCAGGAATTATTCCAAGTTTAGAGTTGAATATGTCGTGACAGTAGATCATAGTTTTGATTAATAAAGCTGCACCGCACAGTTCTAAGCGGGGAATTGATAATTTCTTTAAAGGCGCAACCTTAGATTTAGCCATTATCAAGTTTGAATGAACTAGGCCATTATTGTCAACGATGCGAAGGTAGACGGCACAGCCGTAGCCTACTTCTGAGGCATCACAGAATCCGTGGAGTTGAGCTTCGTTATTTCCTGGCGACAGAACTGGTCGGGGAATATTGAGTCGGCTGAGCTGTGGGAGGTTTTCAAAGTACTTGACAGATTGATTAATAATATCAGTTGGAAGGGTCTGGTCCCAATCTAGGCCTAATGTCCAAATCTTCTGAATTAAACATTTAGCCCATAATACCACAGGAGTGATTAGACCAAGAGGATCATAAACTTTTGATACTTGAGATAGCAGACTTCGCTTTGTTGTGGGTAACTGTTCTACATGTACCTCGTAGGAAAACACATCAGAAATAGGATTCCATTTTAGGCCTAACACCTTTATAGAGGGGTTTTCCAACTTGTCATCACGAAAAATCAGTTCCTGGTGATGGGATGGAACATCCTGCAAAAGTTCCTGAGAGTTACTGGACCATTTCCGCAATTGGAACCCGCCTGATTCTAAAAGGCTAATAAGTTCAGTTTTAACCTTTTTTGTTTTCTCTAGGGAATCCCCTCCAGTGAGAATATCATCTACGAACGTGGAGTTCAGGACGACATCACTTGCCAATGGGTATTGTTCAGAACGTTCAGAGGCAAGCTGACGTAGCGTGCGTAGCGCTAAAAAAGGACTACTACAGACTCCATAACTTACAGTGTTGAGAAGATAGGTCGAGATTTCGTTTTCAGGATTATCTCGCCATAAGATTGCTTGATAGGTTCTGTGCTCTGGATTTACAAGGATTTGACGATACATTTTTTCGATGTCTGTAGTGAAGACATAAGAATGAAGACGGAATAAAGACAAGATTTTACAAATATCAGTTTGTAGCTTGGGGCCTATTAGTAATTCATCATTTAGTGATTTGCCCGATGTAGTCGGAGCTGATGCGTTAAATACAACACGCAACTTAGAGGCAGATGCATTTTTCTTGAAGATGCCATGGTGCGGGATGTAGTAGGCCTCTTTCATAGGATTTGTAACTTTAGTCATATGGCCTAGAGTTTCATACTCTGTTATAAATGCAGAATAGGCTGACTGAAATTCAGGGTTTCGCTTGAATTTCCCTTCTAAGGACAACAAGCAGTTTTTTGCTCGGTTATAAGAGTTGCCAAAGTCTGGTGAATCATTTTTGAATGGCAGATTGACAATGAAACGACCAGATGAGTCTCGTTCAGTTGTTGAAGTAAATATAGATTCACAATGATCATCCTCAGGACTAACCAGACACTTAGTCATTGGGGGTTCTTCTACTTCCCAGAACCTTTTTAAATTGAATTCCAGTGATTCATGATCTAAGAGTGCTAAGTTAGCAGAGACAGTTTGAAACTGGGAAACTGGGACAGAAGTTTCTCCAATAAGTAACCATCCGAAAATGGTATGGAATGCTGTTGGGATTCCGTGAGGAGAATCAAGCCGCCCACCATCAAAGAGTTGTGGGAATAGATCTGCACCTATAAGGAAGTCAATCTTGCTTGGTAGATAAAATTCAGGATCTGCCAAGTCCCAGCCCTGGTAAAACAATCTTACTTTCTCATGAAGTGTGGTTGAAGGAAGTTGAGAAGTAATACGATTTAATACTATAGCATTAGCTTCAAGAATGGGGGTGTCTTGGTGTGAAGGCTTCAGAACACATAAAACTATGCCTTTGTTACTCAATACTGAAGTTTCAGATAGGCCTAAAATAGGTTGAATGTGCCGGCGTCGCGGCAGTCCAAGTCGCTGTGCACATGCCTCAGTGATGAATGAACTTTGGCTTCCTGCGTCAACAAGAGCTCTGGCCGATTGAAAATTGCCTGTGGAATCCTGAAGGCGAATAACTGCAGTACCTAAAAGAACTGTTGTAGATTCAAAGCAATCCTTTTTGGAATTAGAAGCGATATTAGGCCTAGTACATGTTAGCGCGGAAGTAGGCTGTGGCAGAGATGACATTTCCTTAATATCTTCATTACGATCAGATGATGGAGTGTTGTTAGGCTTTGCAGCTGAAGGATTGTTTTCACCTGGATTAACATGAAGTGTAGTGTGGTGATGCCGTTTACACTTAAAGCATGTACGATTGGATCTGCATTTACTTAACATATGAGAATCAGTAAGATAGTTAAAGCAAGCTTCTTTAGATTTAATAAACTCCCATCGTTTGGTCGGAGACAACTGCAAATAAGATGGACAAGAATATACTTTGTGTTCTTTATTACAATATAGGCAGCTTGATGAAAGCTTGTCTTGATTGTTCGTACTGACATGAAACGATCGTTTGCCTGAAACAACAGTAGCTGGTGATTTGACAGTGTACGGTTTTGAAGTTGATTTGGGTAGGCCAAACTTGGAATTAGAGCGGGAATCCCCAGCGGCTTCCAAGGATTTGCAATGATCTTTCAGAAAATCAATAAAATCAGTGAATGAAGGGTACTCTTTGTTGGAATGTTTTCTTTCAAACAGTTGTCTAGTATGTTTGTCAAGGCTTTTTAAAGCAATGTGCAATATGATAAACTCTCCCATATTCCCAGGTATTTGCATGTTTTTTAAGGCTAAAGTATTTTCATTGAGTGTGTCAAGTAAGTTGCGCAAAGGTTTCAGAGACTCAAAATGAATTGGGCTTATGCTTAGAATTTCCTCGATGTAATGTGAGGCTAGTAACCTTTTGTTGTCATACCTTTCATTAAGCTGATCCCAAACTAGAGCATAGTTGGTTGAACACAACGGCAAACTTTTGATTAACATATTAGGCTCTCCTTTGGTACTATTAAGTAGAAAGTGGAATTTTTCTATGTCTGATAGGCTACTGTTGTTATGGACTAGAGCTAGATATATGTCTTTAAAATGTGGCCATTCTTTTAAAGTGCCATCAAAGCTAGGCAGATTTATTTTTGGGAGCTTAGCTGTTGCAGAACCAAGAGGTTTGGCTTCATTTGCAGAATTTTCATTGGTTGCTGAGGTGGAAAACAATTTTTCTTTCACCGATAAAATGTAGAAATATTTATGATCTGTGGCTTTATTAAGTTCCATCAAGGTTGGCAACTCACTAGTTTCTTTCAGTTGGACATAAGATTTAGCTATGTCGGTTTGGTAACGTTCGAAGCTGTCATGATGAGCCTGTAGCCTTTCACAGCGAACTTTAAATTCTGACATGTCATCTGGTTCTGCATTGATTGTAAGAGCATTAGCTTTAGAATAAAGGTATTCAATCTTTTGGACAATATTGTCCCTTTTATATTTAAGCACTTCAATGTCCTTCTTTACTTTGACATCAGACATGGTTAGAGTGAACCTAGGCTAACTGTGTAGGTACAAAATATATCAATGAAATATACAATTATTCCAATAAAATCAATAATATTTCCACAATGACAGTTTTGGCTTTAGATTGTTTAGCCAAATAGCAAATTGATTGTATTAGGCTAAGTTATTGAGTTTATTAGGTGAACAGGCCTAGACCTTATTTTTGTTTGATCACTTGTTGGATTAGATAATAAGTCACAAATAGCAATAAATCAATGGTGTTCACTTATTGTTAAGTGAAAAGCTTCATTTTTAATTATTTTATTAACAAGAGGAATGAAAAAGGCATAAAAACCTGGTGCAGGGATAAAAAGATAGTTTTAATCCCAGAATGAGGGATTTATCCCGAAACGAGGGATTTATCCCGCCGTAGGGAAATGTTGGTGATTCCTATCCCATAAATGAGGGATTTATCCCTCCAGCCTGTAGCAGGAAAATGTTTGCTTGGAAAATCGGTTTGATTTGATAAATACAAATTAACACTTCTTTAAATCTTGATAAAAGTCCATAAAATGCTTTAAAAACCTGATTGAACTCAATCTTGATGTTAAATAAATGTTCAGAAGCTTTATTTGCAATAATAACCTAGAACACTAGCCAGACTTAACATGAAAGGATAGGAACATGTTGATAGAATAGGAGCATGTTGAAAATTGATAATTATTAGAAAAATATGATAGGATTTTTGAAAATTAATTGATCAGGTTCGAAGGACCAATGAAAGCAGTGGATGTAAACTAGGAAATAGAAATTTTAAGGTAGAAAAAATAGGAAAATGGTTAAAATAAGATACCTCACATGTTTGGGTTGACTTCTCTGTAGATGGCCATCTTGCTGCTGATTTTTCCTTCACTACTTCTTCTTCTTGTAGTAGGGATAGGCGGGAAATTTAAATGTTTAAATGAAACCTGAATGAGGGTGGTCATGGTTGGTGATGTTGCAACAGGAATGAAAAAGGATAAATTAAAATGTCTCTGGGATTTCAGAAATTAAATTAAGTCTGGCTCTAACATTTACAGCTGTTACGTTAAGCAAATGGTATTATAGCAAAAGCTAGTCTAGAATGTTAGTGTCGGCTGCTAGACTTTTTAAAAATTGAAACCTAATTTCTAAAAAAACTGAGCCCTAAACTAAAATTATGGCTTCGACATTGCCTAGTTCTCAAAATTATCTTTCTTCCAACACAAAAATCGTGAAAATCCGTTAAGTGTGGTTAATAAAAAACCCTGTCACGTTTTAATATATATGATAACTTTTGAACCTTAGTTTTTACGGAAATGGAATTAGTACCATTTTGTTTAAAATCTAAAGGACTATAACATACTAAATTTTTAACAAAATCGTTCGGGCCATTTTTTAGAAAATCTTATTCTTCCGTTATTTTATGGTAAAATCCCCATTCAAAATAGAAAATTCAAAAACATGAAATAAATACCTGGAGATACCATGGATTAGTACCTACATACCAAATTTAATCAAAATCGGACTACAGTTGTGGTGTGTAGCTCTGTACACATCCACACACACGCACACAGACGTCACTCCAAAACCACTTTTTGGTGTTCAGGGGGACCCAAAATGGATGTATCAATTAAAAACTAAAACTCGAAGATGTTGACGAAAACAATACTTTCTCCATATACTATGGTTTAGGGGGAGAAAGTAAACATTTTCAGAATAACAAAATATCATTTAAATAAATGAAAAATGTTTTGTGTTCTTTCTTTATTGGAAACTTTTGATCACCCTTTCATTTTTCCACATTTGCTTACAGAGTTTTTTGTACTATTGTTGTTATCTTAGAGATCTGCAACTAAGTATAGGATTGTGAAGGACCTCTAGATTTTGCAAAAAGATTGTTATGCCAATATTATACATTGGTAATTGAATGCCATTACATTTTTGTTTACTTTTGGTAGGTTATACGAAAGTAATATATCTTTACCTGAAAGCACAAAAATACGTCAAATAACACTTATAACAATATATTTACACACTTATACTGTTTACTCACAAGACGGTAAATACATATAAAATATGGATGGTAAGTGGTGATCGATTATGATTGGACAATCCAAACATCATCAGACCCAATGGACGAAATTCACCTGAGTTCTCTTGCCTATTAGGTCTGATGATGATGATTGGAGTGTCCAATCGAAATCGACCACCACTTACCATCTTTTATATGTATTTACCATCTTGTGAGTTAACAGTATAACTGTAAATATATTACTATAAATGTTATTTTAAGTATTTTTTTTTGTGCCTTCAGGTAATTTCATAACACGTGCGATGCTGATCAAGAAGTTATATATTTTTACAGCATTATCAACTGCGGAAAAATTATTATCTGGGTAAAACAATTACGATGGTCTCTGGTTGAATGTACACAATTTAAACCACTACTAATGTGTTTAATCGTGTGTGCTGTGGTTTATCATGCATCATATAATGACAATCAGCTGTAAACTAACGGCAAACAGTTATTACGCCACCGACTTGATCGTGGTTAAAATGGTTTGGAATGGGTTCTAACATTTTTATTCTAACTCAGAACGGTTACCTATTATACATATACAATAACGAGTTGTCTTATTATGATACAGTAGCATTATTTATCACCTATGTTTTAATACACCTTATTTTGTTTATTAAAATTTGTATGTATGTTTGGGGCGTAAAGAGGGTAATATATGACTCACCAATAATCCAAGGGTGAAGAGTAACAAGAAACACTAGAGAGTAGAGATGGCACATGGGCGGAAGCCGTGAGTGGATGGCGGAAGACGACGTCTTGGGAAGAGGGTAGCCAACTTGTAGGTTGAGTAGAGATGAGGGAAGTGTGCACACTTTTGGGGAACACTTGTGGGGAATCCAGTAATCCTAATCCACTAAAGTTGGCACTTGACACAGGCACTCGCGACGAAGACGCGGCGGACGTAACTGCTTAGCGGCGGCAGCGATAACGTACTAAATAACTTATTTAAGAAAAACACCTTTTACAGAGTTTGACGTCGAGAAAGTTTTATTAATTGTTCGTGACAAACGATAGAAGAGCGTTAGAGAGTCCGAGAAGCGGTTTTAGAGGTAAAAGTTTATAAATAGAGAAAGACTAACGAAATACGGCGCAATGCACGTATTCAGTCGAGGAGAGTTACATTTCAACTGAACATTATTTTTGGAGGGGGAAGGGACGCTACCTCAATGTTTCTTAGAGGGGTACCGCAAATTTATCCATGTCCATATCACGCCACATTTTTTAACCAATAGGATTCGTCCTGCATCGGGCAACACAGCCGAGATAGTGTGTGTGTTTTATGTAGGCTTGTGTGAGTGAGACTCGTAACATTTGATACAACAATACTTAATGAAATTGAAATGAGATTTAAAAATACAGATTTGGTTTGGAAATAAGCTATCACTAATTGAACAATAATTATGATGATAAATATAGTAATAAATAATTAAATACAGAACAATGTTATTCTACTAAAAGGCAAAAATGTGGTTCGGATTCCACTATAAACTGTAGGTCCCTTGGTTGCCATTAGCTGTATGGGCTATTAATTAACAGCTGTGTCTAAGGATTATGTCGGCCTTAGTCAACAAGACTACAAGATCGTGCCACTCATCCTACACTCATCTCCATTCATACTTGGCTTAAAATACCTACTTTGAATGGTCGCCATTTCATAGAAAAGTATTAAAGTATTAAAGTATTATAAGTGAGAAAGTTTGGATGAATGTATGGATGGATGTTTGTGACAAGTAAACGCGAAAGAATACTGGTCAGATCGCGCTGAAATTTGGTGTGATGATAGCTTACATTCCCGATTAACATATATACGCATTCTCATCTCAAAAATCCTTTCGGGCTCCACCCCAGTGGCTCTGGAGTTTCCCATGTTAACCTTGTGAGTATTCATATTGAAAAGAAATTAAAGAATTTTGTCAGCTGTTTCAACTACACAAGTTGATTCTATGATATTAAATAGCATTAAAAAGCTTTATCAACAGGGTGCAGCACTATTAATCTTTTTGCATTTATGACAACAACTTATACATTTCAATTATGTATTTCACATTTCACCTTCATTCATTTATCACTTTTCGTTCATCTAATCTCAATCTTTCAATATTGTATCTGTATAAGCATGTCAACCCTGTAATGTCAACCCTGTAAAAATTGTGTTACCGTAAACAAACAAATAAATAAATAAACTTATTTGAACCAACTAGCGACAAAAAGTTGTTAAAAATGAGAACTTCACCTTTTTTATATTGTTAAGGGCAGTGGTAGAACATTATGGCTATGGTAGATGTGCCATACCATAGCATACCGTAAATTAAAACAACAATTTTTTTTATCGTGTCAAAGATTCAAAGATTTATTTGCCGTAAAATATTTACAATAAATACAATAGGCTTCGTCATGCTTATAACTAGAACAGTGCAAATTCACAATGCAAGTGCTTCCCAAACTTAGGCTACATAAGAATGACAAAAAATATAAATATGAAACCTGATTTAAAAAAATATATAAATATGAAACCTGATTTGGTCCGGATGGAAGGTACAGCAGTTAGGGGTTTAATAGGGCAGAAGAGGTGTTGAGGTTGGTGTTGTAAAATTCATTAGTGTGGTAAAAAGGATGCAGAATGAGCCAAGACTTCATAACCTGAGTGAATCTTGGAAGGGGAAGGTTTCTGACGGTGACAGGCAGCTTGTTAAAAAAACGTATACCTGAAACAGGAAAAGATTTCAAAGTTTTTTCAAGCCTAGTTCTGGGATAGAACAAATTTCTATTTGACCTTGTATTATGCTCATGAACTTCACCAACAGATGTAAATAAACCATTTCTTTCCTTTATAGCAACAACACAATGAAATATGTATAGACTATATACAGTTAGGACCCCTTTCTCTATGAAAAGAGGCCTGCTATGATCAAGCCAACCAGCATTTGAAATGACT